TCGCCATTTGGTAATGCACTTATCATTTAATAAATGTTCTCCTTGAGATCTTAATTTTCAAGGAGTTTTTGCCGTGTATTTTGAAGTCTCTGGGCTGCTGGTTGGTGTTTCCTTAGAGCAGGTCCCTATCTAAGTGGACTGCACCATATAGAGATATAAGCTGCTCTCAGTCACGGGTGTGCTTTACAGCCTGTGCTTTACCTTCGTGCCATGTGTGCCAGTTAATAGATTTTTTTTGTTTTTTTCCTAATTTCACCTTGTGTGGTGTAAAAGCTGGGGTGGGGCTGCCCAACCCCATTGTGCCGATTCGCACCAGAGGGATGCTCTCCTGTCCATCCTGCCTCCCATGGAGCATCTCGTGAGCAGGAACACGGAGACTCCTTTCAATTCAAGGCGAAATTTGAAATCTTCTGGCATCGGCATAGCCAGTGCCTGGGAGCGGAGGCGAGGCGCAGGGAGTTGGGGAGAAGAGCCAAGACGGAAGGGGAAGAGACAGTCTCTCATCTCTCCCTGCTGGGGCTGGGTTCCCAAACACCTGCAGCCGGCTGACGGACAGACCGCGGTGGGTCGGGGATGCTGGAAGCATCTCCTGGTACTTGGCCAGCACCGCCAAGCAGCATCCCTGACTGCGGCGTTGAGGCTTCACACCCCCAGCCCCTGCCAGCACCAACCAGCACCCCTCCAGGTCATGCAGTAACTAATATAACTTATTAATAGGTTTTTTCCAAGGCTGTTCATCCTTTATTTGGTGGACTCCAGACCTCCCAAGGGTCAAGTACGGCATCATGGACAGAAACCAAGCGTTTGGGTCCATCCGGCCACCAGCGTCCAGGGATGCTGGGCTCAGCAGCATCCGTGGTTCTGCAAACCGAGTGTCTTGGATACTTGGAAAATGAAAGATGCTAGAAATGTGTTCCCAGGAGAGCGAGTTTTCCAGAAGAATTGAAGAAGAAAAAGAGGTGTTTTGGAACTTGTAGGCAGGCTCCCAAAAATGGCAACAATGTGATAATTTTTTCATCATGTCATATTACAGAACGGCGTGGGGTTTGTTGTGTTTTTTTTTTTCCCAGATCGTTATTCATCATCTCTTCAAACCTCCCAGCGTGAGTCAGAGTGATTTTCTAAGTTCGAGCTCTTTTAAGAATATTAACATCTTTAAATCTATAATATATTTTTTTCTGTCAAATCAGAAAGTCACGTGTACACATCTGCGGTTTACTCTCTTTTGCCTTTTTGTAGGCAGTATATTACCATTTTTGCCAGGGCCATAAATTTAACCCGTTTTACTTTCACTATTCTGGATCAAGTTATTGGGTTGTTTGCTTTATCAACGCTTACTCATGATAATTTATGTCTCTGTTTAAACGGGGTTATCGGTGCAATTCCTTCATAAAATTATCTGGCAAACATTTTTTGGACAGATTATTCATGTCGTTAAATAATACACTTCTTGCTATTTTTTTAAACATTGCTTTGTGGAAGAATGACACAAAGCCAGGGGCCGGTCGGAATATTGTTCATCCAGTTAATGGTCTCCTGCGCTCTCTTTATTGCCTGTTGAAAATACTGCCATCCCGATGATGGAGGGAAACAAATCTGGAGGCTTCTGCACATTTTAATACAAGGGGAGTTTCTGTGCGTGCTCTTAGCTAATGTCGTGATAACACGAGAATCCCACTGCGATAAAAATCTAAAAATAATGAATATGTATGTTGAAAGAGTGACACTTCTTCAGGAAATAGAAGATTATTTTTTTTTTAGAAAGCTACCTTATATCTCCTCAAATTCTTCCCGTGCCTGAGCCTGTCACAGCAAAACGAGTTAATTTGCCTCGCTGGGTGAAAACCCAGCTGCAAAACCGACAGCAGAATAAATCAAGTGTCTGCCTTGAGCGAGGAAGAGCTACACCCAGTGACATGACACTTCGTAAGCTGGCATTTATTTTGGCTGCTTTTCCCGTCCTTTCATGACCGCCAGCCTCCTGTCCACCCTCCCCTGCTCCTCCCCATCCTTTGCCATCCATCCTTCCTGCATCCCTCGGAGGTACCCTACAGACCCCAGCGGGTGCGGACCAACATCTTCAGGCTTTTTGCACAACTGCAGCTTCGCCGTTGGGTTTGACCACAAACTACGAAGTGAAGCAAACCCCTAAATTAGGGAATAAGTCGGCAAGAGGCGTAAAATCCATTCTTATTTTCTTTACAGCGTGTACGGGGAGCTGTTAGACCCCTACACCTCCTGCTCTGCAGGTCCTGCGGAAAGCCGACGTGCAAAGCCAAATTTCCGTCAGTGGGAGGGGGTCCTTCCCAGGCTGACTTTTGTTGAGCTGGGGTTGTGTCTACAAGCATTTGGGCTGGATGGCTGCAGCAACGTAGGAAAAGCTCTCAACTTTTTGCTGCACAAGTTACAAAAGCCTAATTTTGATGGTTTTTCCTCCAGAGTGCGCATCAAACTTTTCTGTGAGCCTGGTAACCACAGGAGCACAGAGCAGGGGGCAACTGGGATCTACTGGGCAAGAGCAGGACCTGGTCACCTCTGGGTAGAGCAGCGATTGCTCTCGCACGTTGGTGGCACGGGCGTCCTTTGGTGTCCGTGCTGCTTCCCAGCCCCTGTGCTCAATTCCTCTCTGGGCACTGGGGAGAGTCAACCAGCCCTTTATTTTTCCTACCTGTCCATCTCTAATCTTTCAATATTAAATCTGGCATTCAGTATCTTTTCGGAAAACCTCTGCAATTTCTGTAGGTTGTTCTCTGATACCTGCAGAAATTGCATGAAGCAGGGTCGGGAAGGATTGGGAGGAGGCATCCCCTGACCCTCTGACCAGAGAGCAGATCTTTGGGCTGGCTGATGCTTCCCACAGCTCTCCTTCATCCCATCTCTCTTTTTTTTTCAAAAAACATCCCAAACCTCCCCTCCCTTAGCTGGACCACATCACTTGTCTTTGCAAGATGCAGAGGGGCTGGGGTCAAGAGGGACTTTACCCCCCGGCTTGAAGCCATTACCAGCATCCCCTGCCACCTTGCTTTCTGCATCGCTCAGCATCCTAAAGGGAGAGCTGAGCTGCAAACAGCGATGCTGAAGGTGCTGATATTAGAGGTGACGTTTTGGAATGACTGATGGGCAGGGACCAGTCCTGGGGTGATGGGACACCCTGTCCCCCACTGTCATGGCAGAGGTTGGGATGCTCATGCCTGGCGAGAGCACACACCAGCTCTGCTCCATTCCTTGGTGTGTACTTGGACCTTTAATCCCATTAAATGCGGACACAGGAGTGGGAAGGTGACTCCTGTCATCCTGGTGCAATGGCCATTGGCAGCAATGGCATCCCACCAGTGTCCCCTGCTTGGTGGCACGGGCTGGTGGCTTTGCAGCAGGTTGGTTTGGCTGGTTGGGCGCAGAGCTGCCTTGACTCTTGGTTTACATGTCCAAAGAGTCTTTGGGCTTCCCCAGGGCTTGCTCCTGGGTGCTGCAGCCCCGGGGTGGTGGGGATGGCTGCTTCGCCCAGCACCCCAAATCCGCATCAGTCTCTGCTGAAGCATAAGGCACTGTACTAAAAAAATAGACTTTTGCTTTGATTTGATGTCAGGCTTGCCCCGCACACCCAGCTGCTCTGGACTCTGTCCCCACGGGTGATGCTAAGGCTCCTGGAGCTGGGGGAGCTCTGTGGTACCCAGGGATGCGATGCTGGGCTGCCCAGCCCCATCCCACAGCCCCACTTCTTGCATGGGATCCCATTGCAAGCTATTCAGCATCCCGCAGCCCTTGGCCTTTTCCTCCCTGTTTTTTTTTTTTTTAGTT